CATCAACCTGCTGCTGAAGAGTCTTTTCAAGAAAACCTCTGAAGGTCGCAGACATGGTTGTATCTTTGTTCCTCAAGTGCCATCCTTAAAAGGAAAACTATAATATATGAAGTCACCTGCTCAATAACTTGATGCATATATTCATAAAAGTAATTCGGTCTATTCTAGATTTTTAATTGAAAAATAAAGGTGAGCCATTTAAAAATTCCATCCTCTTAGTAAGTTAAAAAAAATAAAAGTTCAACAACTTTAAAAGCATGAGAAGGATTATATTTTACTCATTTAATGGTGAAAAGAGAACCTATGGAACTGTATCTTTTTTTAATGTTACATTTTCTTGAATTTTTCATTATTAGGTGCTTTTGAAATCTGGTGCAGTTTCTCTCGTATACTTTATCGTACAAACTCTCACCTGGCGTGTGTGTGTGCATGCCCCCAAGATCCCGAGAGGAGAATGGAGGAGAAGGGATTGCTACGTGGCCATCCTCCCTGGGGGTGGTGATTTCTCACTTTCTGTCTCTCTGTCTGTCTGTGTTTTTCTGGTGAGCGCATGCGCCCTGTAGCAAAAACCTCTTCAAAAAAAAAAAAAATATATATTTACATAGACCAAGAATGTAGCAAGATTTCATAGTCCTGTCTCTGCCATGTGGCTTCCCGACATCTAGTCAGCCTCCCTTTCCCTCTCCTCTTCCTATCTCTGTTATTTACTTCTTTGCTTCAAATTTTATTCTTTAAATGATATGACAAAATTCATCATCCCCCCTCCAGCTGCTGTCCTTATGCTTTCATTTTCAAAAACGGACAGCAGATTTTGATTTTCTAAGTCTTGTGTTCCAATCCTTTGAAGGGAGTAGCTTATAATTATTATTTTAAGGAAGTAGCTTGTAATTATTATAAATTAACAAATTTTTTCATTAAATACTTGATCTTGTCAGTTATTACCATAAAATAACCATTTCATAAATTAATGAAAATAGATTTTAATGTTATTTGTAATATTGTAGATATTCTAAACAAAACTAAGCATGTTCTTTTGGTTAATATTTTACTTTAATAGGTACCAGGAAGATAACCAAAATTATTATTTTGTGTGTATTTATTGATTTTATTTTCCTTTTATGTATGTAAGAGAATGAGTCCAGATAGTTTGAATAAGATTAGTGTATTGTGAAATAGTTTTTGTTTTTATTTTTTAAATTTTTTTTGGTTAGTAGGTTATTTTTTTGTATTTGAGAATGGTTGGTCTCTAAACTTCAACTCAGAGGAGTTGTTGAGCTTTTCTTAAAAATTATGTAGTAGCGGAGCCAGCAGTTGGCATGGTGGTTAAGTTGCTGGACTCTCACATGGCCGACTGCTGTTTGAATCCTGAATCTGGTGACTTCAAAATCATGCTGGCACATGGGCACCTGTGCGTGCATGCCCAAAACCTCAGGAGGAGAATGGAAAAGGGATTGCAGCATGGCTACTCCCCCGGGGGGGATTCCTCACTTTCCTTCTCGCTGTCTTTCTCCAGCAAGCACATGTGCCCGATGGCAAAAATCTTTCAAAAAAATTATTTGATATCACTGCATTTTAGAGGTAATTCTCGGGGAGCCTCAGATTTTGTGATCTCTCTGAAGAATGCTGGTGTTATAAATTAGGTTTCCCTAATGAGAAATTCGGCATATTGAGTTTGTAGCATGTGCTTGTTTCAAAGGGCCCTCTGTCCCGAGATAGAACACGATGGCCTTACCTTCTATTTTGTTTTCTAAAATAGTTGAGTAACCAGAAAAATATTCAGTGTTGCCAAGGCTAGCTTACAGTAACTGCAGTTCATTTTAAATCCATTTAAAGAAAAAAGGAAACATGCTTTAAAATAATTTGGGATTTGATTTTCGGAAAGCTGGCCTATTTACAGAAGTCTCAGCCCCTTTTCATTCTTTCTTTTTCTTTTTTTTCTATTTTTTATTTAATTCAACAACTATTTATTGGCTACCTTACAGCACCAGGACCTGTTCTGAATGCCCAGTGAAACTAAAAGTATTTTATTTCACTTAGTGGAATTTCTGAAACAGTTGAATTAAGCATAATTAAATAATTAATGTAGTTTCACTATCTTGGATGTAAGGAAGGAACTTTTCAAAGTAATTTATGTATTTACATGAACCTTTTAAATGACTTTTTCCTTTTTGTTATTTTTTCTTTTTAAGAAAAATGATACAATATTAGTGGTGCACTTAATTGTTTAAGAAAAGATGTTGGGAAGAAATTTCTCTTTTTATGTTAATTTTGGATTAACAATCTGTATGTAAAATGAACTTCTTTGTATTGTCTGTCATCCCAGTTCTCAAAGCACTTAAGTTTTTGGTGTTTTAAAAATAAGTAAATTCATGGGTTGCTTTTCCTTTATTTAGAAAGATTATTGCTCCTCTCGTAACACGTCATGGAAAGCTATGGTCCAACTTCTGGGGGGCTTTGAGTCCTGATGGATACTATGCTCGATCTGAAGACTATGTGGATATTGTTCAAGGGAATAGAGTGTAAGTTACTTGATGTCATCTTCTAATGTAAAAATACCATCTTTGTAAGATATGGTATTTTCTTTACGTTTAATGGAAACTTGAGAACCAGGAGACCAGGTGGGATCCTGAAATAAATAGTAATTGAAAAGCAGTATTTAAAATAATCATTTTAGAATTCTAAATGTTCAAAGGAACAAAATCTTTGCAAAGATCTTATGGTTAGTAGAAGAATACTCTTCAATTTAAAAGTCTGAAAGGGAAATAAAGTTCAGCTAATTTGTTTAATGGCCATGATTAAGGTTTGTTTTATAGCTTTTAAAATGTATAGATTAAAAAATAATAAATTGGCCAAAACTGAAACTTTCTGGTATTTCTGATTGCCTGAGCTTTCTGTGTGAAATACCTAATGCTCTGTGTTAAAGATAGTGTTCTGGGACCAGCAGGTGGCATGGTGGTTAAGGTGCTGAACCCCCACGTGCCAACTATGGTGTCTTCTGTGAATGCATGCACCCTATTGAAAACAAAACTGAACTAAACTAAACTAAAAAAATTTAAAAAAAGATTTCTTTACCAATCTTGAGATTAAAAAGAGTACACATTACAGAGTGTGTGCATGATTGATATTTATTTCAGAGATGATGGCAATTATTAATTAATTTATTTACTTCATTTCCTAGAGGGCATATGTATTTGCCAAAGAAAGAGACACACACATACACACACACACACACACACATACACACACACACACACACACAGAGCGTGCGCGAGAGAGAGCACTTTCCAGTCAGCCACATGAGATCCAGGTCTGAGACTTAGACTGTGCAGTCAGCCACATGTGAGACACAGATGCCTTAACCACCATGCCATCAGCTGGCTCAAAAACCAAAGTGATGGGGCACCCAACTATGAGCCAGATATTTTTAAACTCAAAAATAATCACAATTGAAATAGTTTTGCTAAAGTAACAGGGCAAGAATGTCATTCTTTCTTCATAGATGATGGACCAGAGTGACTGTCACTAAGTGTTTTATTTTAGTTCTCGAACACATCAGGTCAATTAAAAAAGAAAATGAAAAGAAACGTAATCTCATGACTTAAAAAAATGTGCACTTAAATTTGGGGAAAAAGTCACATTTTGCCTTTGAATGGTTGAGTGGTGAAAGATGTTTTCCTTGTGAAAATAGTCATTGGAATAGAAAGCCTAAATTTGGATAATGTAAGTCTGATCAAAAGTCTTGTTGCAGTTAAAAAGCATGATCACAATAGCCTATTGTTTCAAAAACGTTCACTGCTGCTGGAAAGATTTATAGATCAACTACCTGTACCGTCTGCTAGTACTGCAGAAGTAGTGGTCACAGAAATAGAAAAGAGAATTCATGTTTTGAGTTGTGTTGGATATGGTGATTTTCTGTCATTGTTATCTAAAGTGTCAGGAAAATAATATGGCAGAGGTTTTTCATTAAGCTAATATAAAGATATACTTTATGTTCAAAAGATATATAAACGAATGATTCATAACCTGTATCTTTTTTCTTAAAGATGGAAATATTACCAGTAGTTAATTTTTGAATTCCGCTCATGTACTATATGCTTCTTAAGGGCATTCTCTTTAAGGTTGGTCTAGGAAGACAAAATATCATATTTATTTTAATATTCAACTATATGTCCTTGGTCAAGATCTTTCCTTTCTGTTCTCTGTAAACAACAGGCACAGCCCTTCAGGCAAATCTTTCCTTAATGCTGTCCTAGGATATGGATCATATTCAGCATAAGGAATAGGTGTGGAGATAATGAAGGACAAAGAGTTTTCTAATACGCATGTACTTCCAGCTGCATTTTTTTCATATCCTCCTTTTTCTTCCAAAAATCTGAGATAACTTAATGAATTTAAAGAGAACATAATTTAGGAGAATTTCAGGCTATGTTCAGAGGTGTGCTTGTAATCGGTTTAACAATAGCCCCAGGGGTGGCAGATGTTCTGATTTATAGTGTCTGCCAATGTACATGGTGTAAATACTTCTAGCATGGTTGATTTCAGGTTTCCAAAGTGAAATCTCTGAATATGGACCTGGCACTAAAAGTCAGCTCTAGGAAGCCACCTGTAGTGCACCTCTGCACCACTGGTTACGTATTATTATTTTTGTTCTCACTCTTTAATCTGAAACAGGAACACATGCTTGACAACGTAGTACTGTAGTCTGACTGTAGTAACTGAGAGATTCCAGCTAAAAATGTCAAACAGGTTACATTTACATTACTTTACACTGAAGTTTATAGAGACTGTGATTTGTCTCCAAAACCTCATAAAAATACACTGCGTACCAAGTAATCTGAGATATATATATCAAATAACGTTAAATGGGATTTATGTGTTGATTCAATAATTTACAAGTACAACATTTAAACATTCAAAGCATTGAGTTTTCAAAATGCCAAAATAAAACTTACTCTTTTTGGTCATTGTGGTATTTTGGAATATCTTCCCCTTACTTTCAGAGGAGTATGGAATGTCCCGTACATGGCTAACGTGTACCTAATTAAAGGAAAGACACTCCGATCAGAGATGAATGAAAGGAACTACTTTGTTCGTGATAAATTGGATCCCGATATGGCTCTTTGCCGAAATGCTAGAGAAATGGTAGGACTTACAAAGACAGCTTGCTCGAATGTTCTTCTAAGATGCCTTGCTTTACCAGTTGGTGTGTTATTGTGTTTTGATGCCCCTTTTCTTTCTAATTTGTAAGTACTAGCCAATTTTTTTGGTTCTGAGTTGAAAACATTGGAGCACTTTTGGAGGCTAGTTCGTGAACATTCATTTGTAGAAACATTTCAAAAGAATGTTCGGTTTGGCATTCAGGTTGAATCATAAACTTAACCACGGCAGCATTTCAATAATAAAAATATAGTTGTTACGAATCAGCTCTGCTCATTTAAGAATATGTCTTTACTTCCATTTGAAATTCTAATTAAAATTAATTAGAAGAAGCTTGCACAAAATTCTCATTGCACTTCTAAGGATATACTTTTGCTCTGAAATCAATGTCCACATTTTCTCCAACTAGTGTACTTTTATATTGTTAATTTTACATTCTTTAAAAGGAGATTCCTCGCCCTTAGACTGGGAGAGGGATAGAGCTATGTAATATATGTAGTCTCTGTGAAAAAAGTAATGCTATACTGCTGTCCTCTGACTGTACTTTCATTACAGTGACTTAAAATGACTATAAAAATCATTTTTTAAAGAAATCATGGGGTTACTTTACTTCCAAATATATGTAAGCAATCATGATTTGGGGAAAAATCAAAAAAGTTGGCAAGTATTTTTTTTCCCTCAGTTTTAACAAGGCATGTGTTTGATTATGTTTGTTTTTCCCACCAACCTATGTGCATTGTTTTTGTTTTGTGCATTGTTTTATTCTCAGTACCTGTAATTTTATTTTGTGCTCATGTTTGGCTAATTTGACTCAACAGCACATCCTGGAATGGCCTCTCTTACTCATTTTTTTTCTTCCTTTGTCTTAAATGTGTCTAATGTAAGTTCTACTAAGGAATGAGCTTGGATCTATGTTTGACCAGAAAAACTGTAAAAAAGGAAAGAAAGCGCTCAAAGGGCTGACATGTTTCCTTGTGTGCGCTATAAGCTTTGCTTGTTCTGCATGTGATCTGTGAAAGACATTTCAGAATGTCAGCTTTTGATCCGGAGCTGCTGCGTTTATTTCAGAGTACCTGACAGAGAGGATGTGCAGGTCGACTTACCTAATGCTTCTCTTCATTTTAGACTTTACAAAGGGAAAAAGACTCCCCTACTCCGGAAACAATCCAAATGCTCAGCCCCCCAAAGGTGTTATTTTTATTTATTTTAATTTCTTTTTTGTTTATTTAATTAATGTGGCTATGGTATATTGTCTTGCAGTAATATTCTTTAAGAGTCTTCTTAGCATTTAGTTTGGAAAAATGGCTTGTTTTCATTGGTTAGTAATCTGTTTATGGCTGGGTGTATCTTGTGTGACTTGTGGTAGTCAACTCTTCGTTCATTGGGCTGATTTACATGATATGGTTGACGAGTGAGAAAGTCCCTTTCATTCATTTTTCTAGGGTGTGTGTGTGTGTGTGTGTGTGTATGTGTGTGTGTGTGTGTGTGTTGCTTTAAGGGACAGGAGAGCTACTAATATTATAAAGTACATCTTCATTGACATGAGGTTTGGGTACTCTTCATTGATTTTAATTTGTTAATCACTAACTCTTTTACCACGAAAACAGGTACAAAAACCAAAAAGCAAAAAACAAAAAACCTCGCCTCAATGATGACGTGATATGAGACTTTCTTTAGCTCTCTCTATAACGCATGACTAATTTTTGTTTCCAATCTTTAAATGTTAAAACAAAGGAAAAAAAATGACTGATGAAATAATACTGGTATTTTAAATTCTGATTTAAAAATGTAACATTGTCTTTTTTTGAAAGGGAAAGAAGCCAAAAAAGGTACAGTTCATTGCACTTTGGTGTCTCAAACCTATTTCTGCTTTCAAACAGGAAGTTTTGTCCCGCTGTCCACATCTAGGATCAATGAGAAAGGGACAGAAACAGTTCATTCTTCCTCTTCTTTTTTTCAGTTGAGTGTCAGTGCTACCCATCAGTTTTGTGTGTTGTTCGAATCCATAATCACAATTTCATCTCTTTTAAGTCATGCACGTTTCATGTGAAAAATAAAAATGCATGTTTGTGAATGAAATACAAAAGTTGAAATTAATATCTCCTATTTATTTATTTTGATAGTTATATTTTTTGTAATTTCCTCTAAGATTAATACTATTATTTTTTGAAATATAGGGGACATTCATGTACATTTCTAATAGGCATGAATTCGGAAGGTTATTATCAACTGCTAATTACAATATTTCCCATTATAACAATGACCTCTGGCAGATTTTCGAAAATCCTGTGGTATGTATCTCATGTTGAGTTTCATGTCTTACTTATTTTCATGCCATTTTAAATTGATGTAAAACAGCTGGGTAACAATATGAAAATGTAGTCAGAGACTTTTCAAAAATGATATACTTAATTTTATTTTGTAATTCATAGAGTAGTTCTAAATTTTACCAAGAACTTCTTTTGTTAAAACATAGCTTGGGGGACCAGCAGATGGCATAATGGTTAGGTCACTGGACTCCCACATAGTTGACCACGGTTCAAGTCTCAGACTGGTTGACTTAAACCGCGTGCTGGGCACACACGCACACACGCCCAGCACGCGTTTAAAGTCAACCAGTCTGGTGAGCGCATGCCGCCCTATAGCAAAAATCTCTCTCCAAAAAAAAGACATAGTTTGGTATGGGGAAGGCAATTATTGACTCCCTTGATTTCTTTCAACATTCCTGTGTTAGGTACAAAATGTTACTATCCAATTTTTAATTATATTTTCAGAAAATGTTTATAAATCATATCTGATGACATTTTGGTTCTCAGAGGAAATTCAGGAAGTTAGTTAAGAAAACATATTATTTTCTCGTTTCATTAATTTTTTTGTGAATGTACATCAAAGATGTCCAGAGAAAATTACATAACAATTTCACTCAGCATATAAAGAAAAATCTTAAACTGAGGAATCTATTTTCATTTAAAGTAGAATTTTTTTTTAATTTAAATCATGTAGTAATTAGCTCTTTTTGTTTGTTGGTTTCATAGGGACCTCTTTTCTTTAGTTAACACATTTATTCAAAGAATATTTCTCTCTTGAATAATTATCTCTGTAACACCAGTATTTATGATTTTTTTCTGGCCAATAATAAAAGTTTTAAATTGCAAAAACTCAGTCCACCTGATGAGAATTGTAGAATTATTTTGTAGGAATAGTTGAAATCTGGGAATAGTAAAGTTAACAGTCTCTAAGTACTCTGTTGAATAGAATAAGAATGTCTTTTGACATTTCGGTATTTTAAAAGTACTTTGGTTCCATTTTAGCTGCATATTTCTCTTTCAAAGGAATAGAATTGTGGAGGGTACAGTTACATATTTTACTTCGGCACCACATTGCTTGGTATTTTAAGGAACAGCATTATTTGATTTCTTGTATAATATGAGTTTCCTGGTAGGGTGTTCTAAATCATATCCTGAATTGCAGACATTTGTTTAAGAATTCAAGTCTTTGGAGAATACGCAGTGAAAATATTAAAATTGAGTAGGAACTGCTTTCATTCCATGACTTTCTTTGCTGCTGCTGCTCCTTATTTTTTTTTTTTTCTCAATTAGACTGATCAATATGCCTGATGGGGGATATCCAGTAGCAGAATACTTAGTGTTTGTTCCATTATCAGAATTTCTAAGACACTGGTAAAGTTTTAGTTTGCTCCATGACTTAACGGTGGTTTAAAATAAGTAATATTGATACCCTCATGTAAAATTTTAGAGACTTTTTTCTTTCACTTAAAAAAAAATACAGTAATGATATAAAGGAAAAAAATACTGTGGGTAAAGATTCTTAAATGTTAAGGATGCTTATTTACTTCTGTTTTTTTTCCCATATTTTTGAATCAAAAACTAGTACACATTAGGAGGGATAATAACATAAAATATAAATCTGACCCCATGATTATATACTATGTAAAACTAAATTGATTAAAGAATGAGGAGATAGCTTTTGCTCCTCCTTGTCAAAACTATCTAAGCTACTTCTCAGCAGAAATACAAAACTGAGAATGCATATAAATTATCATGATATAAATGATCAACCTCTCTTAAATATAGTCTCAAAGATGTATTTAAAACAAATATTTGTAAAACATGTTTTGATTGGGATTATTTTGAGCCCATGGCTTAGTCTTCCCTGCTAGCTTCCTTCTTTGTGTGGAGATTAAGGATTTTTGTTACGTAGCCCACAAAAATTTAAGGAGAGATCATTCTGGATATACAAATTTGCGCACATTTTACTACATACATATTTTATACCTATATGTAAGTACAGCACTAGACCCAAACAAAAAGATTCCTTAGCTAATGTTCAGATTATCTTTGTGTTTGCTTTAAGTGCCAAAATTGATCAAAGGGAAGAATCAGTTTCCTGAGTAAGATTTAAGAGAAACAATTTTCTAATATGCAACATTGTGCCTTCATATTAGTAACTAAAAGAAATAAGTGTTTGTAAACCCACGATCATTTTTGATACATATTAAAAATGAAAATAAAGGCAGAAATTTTAAATCATTTAAAATAGTTCACCATAAAAATGTAAGTTAGAGGCTAGTTAATGAGCTCACATTTAACTAGTATTTATTGGTAAGATTTTGTTCCTTATCTTTCACTTTTAAATACACATGTGCTTACTAGCCTTTGTGTGTATCCATAAAATGTAATATGCAAATCTTGCTATAAAATAACTCAAGTTTTAATATACTGATGTATAAAGCTTCATAAATAAAATTTTTGTATTTCATTGGGTGCTATGAGTAGATAAAGGATCAGGCCAATGTTATAACATGTACTCTGTTTTTTCTTAAAATTCTTATTTTGTCCAGTGTATATAATTATTTATAAATTGATAAGATAATTTCTAAAGTGCAGATACTTTATATTTTCCAGTAGGTGTTTATTTGAAAGGATATGCACTTTAATGTGTACTTTTTTTTTTATAGGACTGGAAGGAAAAGTATATAAACCGTGATTATCCAAAGATTTTCACTGAGAATATAGTTGAGCAGGTTTGTATTAATAATTATTATAATGTAGAGAGCATTTTTGCTATAGTTTCTAGAAAGGAATAATATTGAGACAGTACTGCTTTAACAGGAGATGCTGTAAAAGTAGAGAAACTATCCTTTAGGTAAAATTTACGTGACTTAATTACCAATTATACAGCCTTAAGGATCATATAATTGTAAAATTGTAGAACATGGAGAATTGTAAGCTTTTGCCTTTTATTTATTTATTTATTTATATTATTATTATTATTATTTTTGCCATCAGGCCTGTGTACTTTACAAAGAGACACAGACACTAGAGAGGGAGAAAGTAAGAAATCACTACCCCCTCCAAGGGGGAATGGCCGCGCTGCAATCCCTTCTCCTCCATTCTCCTCTCAGGATTTTGGGTACACACACACACACCCACACACACACACCCACACACACACACCCACACACACACACCCACACACACACACCCACACACACACACACCCAGCGTGATTTTCAGCGAATCTGGGTCTCAAACCACGGTCAGTCATGTGGGCGTCCAGCACCTTAACCACCATTCCACCAGCTGGTCCCCTAACTTTTACTTTCCTTTTTTTTAAGAGGTTTTTGCCTTAGAGTGCGTGAGCTTATTGGAGAGAGAGAAAGACAGAGACAGTAAGAGAGAAAGTGAGAAATCTTCCAAGAAGGATGGACAGGTTGCAATCCCTTCTTCTCCATTCTCCTTCCAGATCTTGGGCATGCACTCACATGTGCCCAGCATGAGTTTATGCCATCTGCTTGTCGTGCTTTTGCCTTTTCTTTTTCTTTTTTTTTTTTTAAATAAAAAGCATACTTATAGGTTCCATAGCTTCCCAAAACTAAACAACAAACAAACAAATAAAACACCAAGTTGACAGATTTCTAGATTAGGACTCTGTCAGTGAAAGTTTATCTTTGAAAATAGTTGGGCTCCATTTCTGAAAAAAGTCTTCTCAGTGCGGTCTTTTTAAAAATGAACTCTATGGGACCAGCAGATTGCTTAATAGGTACTTCTTTGGACTCCCACAATTGATCATGGTTCAAGTCCTAGACCTGGTGGCTTAAAACTCATGCTGGGCACGTGGGTGTGTGTGTGCCCAAGATTCTGAGAGGAGAAGGGATTGTAGTATGGCCATCCCTCCTGGGTAGTGATTTCTCACTTCTTTCTCTGTCTCTCTGGTCTCTCCAGTGAGCACATGCAGCCTGTAGGAAAAATCTCTCTCTAAAAATGAAATAAACTGTATTTTAGATTAATGTATGAAATTATTGCTGGTTAAGGGAACTGGATCCACATGGCTGATCACAGTTTAAATATCAATTCTGGCAACTTGAAAAGCATCTTGGTCATATGAGTGTGCATGCCCCAAATCCTGATAGGATGGAGAAATGGGAGAAAAGGAATAGTGGCATGAATATGTTCCATTGAGGGTGCTTTCTTCCTGTTCCTCTGTCTGTGTGTTTCTCTGCCTCTCTCTAGCAAGCATATGTACTCTCTGACACTTAAAAAAAACATTATTGCTAGTATCTTATATTTGAGAATGGAAAGTGTCATCAATTCTGTAATGCACTATTATGTACCTGTGAAGAAGAAAGCAATCAATTAAACTATGACACCATGTTGTCGACTCATTTAGAAATTTTATTTTACGCATATTGAAAGCTATTTTAGGCTTAGCAAGACACAGGTATGGTCATGTCTAATGTTGATGCCATGTTTTATAGCCTTGTCCAGATGTGTTTTGGTTTCCCATATTTTCTGAAAAAGCCTGTGATGAATTGGTGGAAGAAATGGAGCATTATGGCCAATGGTCTGGGGGGAAACATCATGTAAGTTATAATTTCACACAAACTACAGCATTTGTGTGGGGTAAGGAATATAAATGCATCAGATTCAGAGGGGGATATAGCCTTTTGGTCATACATGTCAGAGTCCTAAACTTCAATACACCGGCTAGCCTAGGCTACCCGAACTCTGTTTTCAGTTTAATTCTGACACTAGGTAATTGATTACCATTTAAGAAGTCATATAATTTCTCTAGACACCTATTTCTCATTTATGCATGTGCTTAACACTGAATAGTATTTAATGGTCAGTGTCTCAACACTGGAGATGGTTAGGTAACACAGGTTTTTACTGGGTAATGTTGCACTTCTTGAAGACCACTTTTTATTTACTATATTTTGAGGATGAAAATACTAAGGCAAACTGTATCGGGTTGACTGTCAAATATTTTTGTGTGTGTAAACCTAGTAACGGGTGTGGGGGGAGCTACTTGAATACCTTTGGTATAATTCAGTCTTGCATTTACATCTGTAGCAAAGAATTAGCAGGAAGTATTAGTATTGGCTTTATATGTTTCCTCTGAGAACCCAAAGATAGCTCTTTAATATACCTTGAAATTTTAGTGAAATATTCTGGGTTATTTCTGCCTCTGTTCCCTTACGTTATTCAGGTAGTGAACTGATTAGGGAGAGGGAAGTTTGAAATAGAGGGAAGAAATTGAAAGACAGTCATTCAAAGACTCTGGGTGTCACAAATAGAATTGAACACAATAGTGAAAGCTCGATTTCAGTGACTGGGAATCCAAGGTGCAAGTAAGTGCGTCTGTGCTCATCAGGGCCACGGTAAAACAACTCACTTTTTTAGGGTGATGAGTGGGCTTATTAAAGGAAGTCAGTTTTCCCTACTTTATAGTTAAACCTTACATACGCATTTCATAAGTGGGAAAGGAGCCCACTGACCCTGCCATCTGTGGATTCATCATTGATAACATTTGCAAAGCCACGTTATCTAAGTTATGTTGATAGTGTCTTAATTAAAGCAGATGGCAAACCCTCCTGGTACAGTGGTTATTTTCATCATCTGTTATGAGCTGTAGACGAAAACCATAGAAAGATAATATAAATGTGAATTGTACGTGAACGACAGTTTACCATGTCATTAATGCTGTTTCTAGGATAGCCGTATATCCGGTGGTTATGAAAATGTCCCAACTGATGATATTCACATGAAGCAAATTGATCTGGAGAATGTATGGCTTCATTTTATCCGCGAGTTTATCGCTCCAGTTACGCTGAAGGTTTTTGCTGGCTATTATACAAAGGTAGCTCTCCTCCTCCTCCTCCTGCCTGCCTACTACCCATTTTTACACAAATGTGCTTTTGTACTGTTTTTTATTGAACAGAAAATGTAGAAAATCTTTGTTTCTTCAGGGATTTGCGCTATTGAATTTTGTAGTCAAATACTCCCCTGATAGACAGCGTTCTCTTCGCCCTCATCATGACGCGTCTACATTTACCATCAACATTGCACTTAACAATGTGGGAGAAGATTTTCAGGTAATTGTAACTCTTATTTTTTTTAATGTTTTTCAGAAAATATGCTATTATGAAAAGAGCTTTGCCTTAGTTTATTTTATTATTTTTTTAAGCCATTTATTTGTTTTTACTTCTTGCAGGGAGGAGGTTGCAAATTTCTGAGGTACAATTGCTCCATTGAATCCCCACGTAAAGGCTGGAGCTTCATGCATCCTGGAAGACTCACACATTTACATGAAGGACTTCCTGTTAAAAACGGAACAAGATATATTGCAGTGTCATTTATAGATCCCTAAGTTATTTACTTTTCATTGAATTGAATTTTCTTTTGGAATGGATGACTGGCTTGAACATGTCTTTGAAGTTGTGCTTGAGAAGATGAGAGGAATATTTAAATAACTTCAACAGAACAACTTCACTTTGGGCCAAATATTTGAAAAACTTTTTATAACACAATTCTTTGATGTGTCTTAGTATCTGCTCTGAGCCTTAAAACACAGGTTGAAGAAGAAAAGAAAGAGAAAAAGTAAAAGAAAATATTTATTTATATGCTTTATAGTCTCTGAGAATATTGACAATTTTCTGAATTTGTGTTTCAAGTTGATAAAATATTCAGGTACAGATATATGAAAATAGGACTAAATAATATTTTCTAATTTAAAAAAAAAAAGCCTGGGAAGAATCTTATTTATCAACGTGTAGGAGAAATGTAGACAAATAGATATAAATGAAAATTAGCCAGTTTTCAAGCCTTGGAAACCTGGTTCTCACTGAAATCATATGTAGTCATACAAGCACTTCTTTGACCAACCTATGCAGGTCCCTTCTATAGAAGTTACTAAGGGGACGTAAAATGACACGGTGTTTTTCCTTGAAAAACTTAGTACAAAACACAACTGAGGAGCATATCTAGTTAAATTCATTTTTTGTTGTTGTTGTTTAGATTGTTAAGCAGATTAACATTTGTATTAAAAAAATTAAACCCTATCTATGTTCCTTCAGAAGAATCTTCCAAAGTGGATTATATGAGGAAGATATTAGACTTAGGATAATTTGCAAGCTTTTCCATTTCATACAGTATGTCAAGTATTGACTTAAGATCAGCAAGTGTCCTTAACTCAAAACATTTATTTTTTTGTTTCCTAGAAAATGTAAAAAAAAAAAAAAAAAAAAAAAAAAAAAAAGGGTTGGAGAGCCTTTTTTTGTTTTTTTTCAA